AAAATATGTGAATATAGAGCTGAGTTTGCAGCTTATAATTCTCTCTGAGTGTGTTTTGGACTACCATAAGTAGTTTTAAGAGTCTCCTCCCTGGTATTTACTTGTTAATGATTTTAAATGATGATTAAATTTATTTTTCCTTTAAGTTCAAAACTCACTTCATGGCAAAGGAACAATGATGAAAGGTTAAATGAATTTCAATTTTCTTAACAAAATAGAGAGAACAAAAGAAAAAATTGAGGAAAATGCAAATATGGATCATTGGAAAGCTGTGCCTTTTGATTTTACCGCAGTCGGATTCCAAGATTCATCCTTTGGGTTTACGAGTGTTTTTCTTGATTCCTACTTTCAGTTATTTATTTTATTTTTGTGATTTCTAGAGTTTTTATTCTATCTTGAATTTGGAAAGTTGCATGGTTTGCATTCCTCAATTTAAATACATTTTGGTACGACTTTGTAGTAGTTATGAGATGTGTGATTAGTGGTTATGAGATTTGTGATATTAGTTATGACAAAAAGGTGTTGGTTATGAGATATGTGACTAGTGGTTATGAGATATGTGATGTTGGTTATGACTCAAAGGGATTGGTTATGAGATGTGGTTATGGTTATGATTATGTGGTCAATAGTTATGAGATATGTGATATTTGTTATGATCAAAGTGCTGTTGGTTATGAGATATGTGATTATGATTATGAAATATGTGATGTTAGTTATGACTAAAATGGTGTTGGTTATGAGATGTGGTTATGAAATATGTGATATTAGTTATGAACAAAATGGTATTGGTTATAAGATGTAGTTATAGCTAAGTTATGATCAATTTGATTATAGTTATGAAGAAATATGATTTTAACTCATAACTATAAAAAGTGACCTGCTTAGCAGGTCACTTTTAATGACCTGGTTATGAAGTAATATGGTATAAGTAAATAATTGAATATAACTAAGTTATGAGTTAATATGGTGATAGTTATGACTAATATGGTATAGGTTATGATATAAAATCATATAAGTTCATAACTAAATGTATGGTACACCTAAATGTACCATAGCATCACCCATTTATCTATACTTTTGATCAATGAAAATTATTGAGCGAGACATCCGTAATCTTTCAATTACTTGATAAAAATGAGTCTATCAGTAAATTTTTTATTACACCACTGATTTGAAGCATCATATAAGTAATATCACTAAATAATTACCCAAAACGAACATTCTTGTATTGTTAAGATAGCCTTTTGAAACCTATACTATTTGCATTATATAGTTTGAATTGTACCTAAAGTTTATTCTTTCTTCATTTGTGTGATTTTGAGATAGGAAGAGAAGTCTAGTAGATATTTGGAGAGATGGGTTTGACTCTCCTCCGATTATTATTTTTTCTAGAATTTCGGATGGGTTTGGATTGTTACATTTGTCTCGGGCCGTCTCTAATCCTTCAAACTTAGTTGATATATTTTAGAGGTCCTTCCACTTTTAGTTAATTGGTTGTGAGTCTACTCAGGCTGCATGCGTTAGAAGTGTTAGACTTGTCCCATATTGTCAAGTTTAACATATTTAAAACAATTTTAAGCCATTTAAAATTTATTAAACAGTTATAATTGTTCAATCACTTTGATTTTGTTGTCATTCTTCTTCCTTATCTTTTTTTCTTTTTATTTTTTTTTATGCATGTGCAAATTCACATTATCAAGAAATTTTATTAAGTTCTTCATCTTGATTTTCTCATTGACACAAATATGTTAAGAAATTCATAGAATTACCTATATCCGTTTTTCAAGTTCATCTGTATCCTTTGATTAAGGAAGTGTTTATCTTTATCCTTTAATTAAGGACCTCACTAAAAGGTCCTCAAATTTGTTTGTTTTCCAACAAACGGAAATTGCTTCTGTCATTTCAAGAAGTATAAGACAAACTTCTCCATTACAAAACATTGTTCATCAAGTAGACAATTGAAAACTAGAGAGTTTGTGGGCACCATAAATCTTCTTAATTGGATATGCTCCGTGTACTACCCAAACCACATGTCATCTCACCTATTTTGGTTGGGAGATTTGGGAGGGATTTGGAAAGAGAAAGAGAAAAGGTATGTGAAACTGGGTGAAATATAGGTATATTTTATTCACATTTCATCTAACTGTTTCCTTTCCCTTTCTAAATTCCTCCCCACGTACTCCAACCAAATACAAAATTAATGATTTTTTGAATGCAAACAGACTCCCCCGCATTATTATTTTTTTTTTCGCGCTTGGTTTTTTGGATGCCTCTAGCCATCTCAGCAAGGCTTTTTATAAAACCTGGGTATTGGGCATCCAAGGGAACTCTATATGAAACCATTTTTGCATGCCTCGCACATTTAGTCGAATGTCTTCGTTTCAATTTTACTACGAGTCATCATTCATAATATTTGGAGCCATACCTCATTTATCATGGTTGATGAGGTGGATCAAATAATTGCTCAATCCACGAGTCTTCTTAAATTGAAATGTAATAAAGATAAGATATTCATAATTTTATCGATGAGGCTACTCTTGTGATTCAAATTCACACATCACTAAAAATGCTACCAACAAAATTTATTATTATTAGGTCAAATCACCCATTAAATGAGTCTTGTTGATGCAACTTAACTAGTCCAAGTTGGATAAGACTGAAATGAGAAACTAATAAGTTAAGTTAAAAAAAAAATTTTTAAAAAAAACCCATTAAAGAACAATAAAAAAAACAAAAAAAAAAGAAAAGAAAAAGAAGTCATTTAATATATATATATATATATATAGAGAGAGAGAGAGAGTAATGCTAGGAACACATAAATCAAATATAGATTTTTGATACACAAAAGTTAGTGGTTAATTGTTAGATTAGCATTTTGGAGGAATTGAAACTTACACTCATACACTTTGCAAGAAAATCTTACCTTACCATTCCACTCCTAAGAGTGAAACTCAAGACCTCCCCCGTGAAAGACAAATTTGATAGCCAAAAAGCTAGCCAACTATGCTAGAGACCAAACACAAATGTCTCATAAATAGTGAGTCTCACATCAGGTGGGTCCCTCCCCTTGTGAAACATCTGTTACATTCTATGTTTGATTTATATTCACATAAACTTATTAATATATATTGAGTAAATTTACATGTACATGTGATTTTTATGTAAGAAAAATGTTTGAAATCTCTCGCCCAAAAAAAAAGGACTTAAATAGACCCACATCATATAGCATAATATGTGTCCATTTTTATTTCTCAAACATTCAATCATATAAAATTTACAATTATCGTGGATTGATTTGAAAGTTCAAATTGTGGATATCTAAGGTTTCTCTTTACCTAATAAGACACATAAGCATGTTAGAAATGTAAAATTTACTATTTATCTCAATATTTGTAAGGAAAAAAAAAATGTGATTATAAAACAACTTATATATATATATATATATATTTGAAGAAAACTTTTATATATATATATATATATATATATTTGAAGAAGAAATCATTAAAAAAGTGAGGAATAATACTAATGGAGTTGGAGGTGGGTTGCAGCCACTAGTCGTACATACTGATCCATCGCCCCATCCGGTACACAACACATATTGCCCACGGATCACGACACAGATTGGTAACAATTTTTTGATGGGAAAAAAATTATATATATTGACGAGAATTAATCATACAAAGATTATAAAAACAAATATCAATAAGTAGATGCGAAGTGCATAAAACTAAACGAACTCAATTAAATTAGTACCGTAAAATAAATCCAATCACCTACTAGCAGACCGCCACGATTTTATTACCAATCTAAAGGAGAGTACTAGTAGTTAGAACTAATAGTCTCACTCTTTCTCGTGAGGCTGAAAGACTCACTGATGTGTGCTGAAGTGTATAAGTAGTAGTTTCAAATTGATGACGATATAACCAGCACCAAATGCTATGATGGAAACAAGACAATGCTATATATTGCCATAAACAGCCCAAATTAATGCTATGATTTTCCCATGTTTTTGCATTTAAAACCAAGCGGAGTAGGGTGGTTTTGAAGTTAATTTTGTTCCAACGGTGCAACCTTTGAAAACGAAAGACATTTTCAGAGTTTGGTGGACTAATTGAGAGGCACGAAATGTAATTTGGTTTATCTCACCTCCTCATTATTCTATTTATTTTCTAAATTTCTATTTGATCTACCTGATCTTTAAAGTTTCTAATTATTCAAAATTTGAAATAATTAGGCCATGAAACAAAAGATTGTCCTAGACCTAGACCAAGGTATTGACGGGTCTGAAATATCATAAAATAGAATGTGATACGATAAGATAGAATACAATAAAAACAAAGATAGAAAATGTTTAATGGTTATAAATTTTAACAACAATCTAAAAGTAATGCTACAGACCCATATATTTGACTCAAAAATTCAAAAGAATTGAGCCCTCAATTGTTGGTTGTATAACCAATTAAAAGTTGACACCTATCTTAATATATCATTGTGAGTAGAAGTGTGAAAGTTTTTTAAAGGTCTCAAATATTTTTCAAAAATAAAATACCCATGCCCAAAAAGAAAAAAGACAAAAAAAAAGAGTAAGAGAAAACATAACTTGGACCCAATATTTTAAGGGGATTTACGGGTCAATCTTATAGATCAAACTTATGTACTTACAAATCTTTTTTTTTTTTCATTAACCAATATCTTCAAAAAAGAATTGAGAACTTACTTATACATTAAAAAAGTATATAGGATTTATAGATGTTTAAGTTTATCACGTAGAATTGACCCGTAATTTATTCATATTTTAATAGAGGTTAGCCCAAATGTATTTTGGGCCTAGGTTCTAGATTTGAAACAAACTCATAGAATCAAGCCCAGTCCAGTTAAGTGAGTGTGGCTCTGTATTTTCTTCCCCTCAACATCGCCGATTTTCTAAAACGAGTGGCGGACACACACACACACAGCCTTACAAAATTTTGTTAATTTCTCCACAAAAAAATTAAAATAAAATTACATCAACGATAAATAACAGAAATAACTCAGACACACACACAGACACATATAGATAAATATTTCATTTTCAATTTTATTTTCAGTGTTCGATTCGTAATCTCTGGAGTCGCAAGCATGACAGCACTTCAGGCCTCAACCTCCTATGGCGTCGGCATTTCGACCTTCGTTACCTCTCCTCGTCTTCGTCTCCATCACCGCCATGTAATCACTGCCCAAGGTATTTCAAAAAAACCTCTGAATCGCTCAATATCTGCATTCTTAACCCTAATTTTCACGATTCATACACGAATTTAGATGTTAATTTTGGTAATTAGTAATCGAATTGGGCATTAGGTGAACCTTATCTTATAAATATGTGGAAGAATCAAGTTCATCCGGCAGAGTTCTGTAAAAAAATTTATTTTTATATATGTACCAACAGAAAGGATTATATCATATGATAAAATTGTTGCATCAATGTAAGCATTGATTGATTGATTTTTATTTTTATTTTTTTCATTCTAATTTTGGTTTACAGTGGAACCATCGGACAAGTCTGTTGAAATCATGAGGAAGTTCTCGGAGCAGTATGCTCGTAAGTCGGGAACATACTTCTGTGTCGACAAAGGAGTTACTTCTGTTGTTATCAAGGTATTTTTCATTTATTTTCTTTGGATTGATTACTTTGTTTTCTTTTCCTTAATCTCATTGAAGTTTGTGTTGTCTAAATTGTGAATTTAAATAAGTAGATTCACGAATAAATAAAAATTATATACTAAGAACAAATGCTAAGAATTACAATTAAATTACAATAGAAATACACAATACAATAAAATGATAAAGAAATCAAACTGAAGCCTGCATGATAGCAGTTTTGTTAAAATAGATTTTCACTGTCTCACGGGTTGAGTGCTTGAGGAATTCCAGCGTCTATCTCCCAGGATACGACGGTTAAAATTCAGTTACGGCAGAAGCACTCTCTGTCTAGCTTAGCGAGCAAACCGTGGCAGTACTCTCTCACTATAGGAACTTTTTGACAAACTGACTTGTAAAATGGAAGCAAAAATTTCTGTGTTGGGACTAGACAGGAGGGTCTCAATTTATACATGTATAGGGGAGAGAGGAGGAGCCTCCAACCTTTATGGTTGGTCACTAATGCACCATTAACCTGCCTTTATGGCTCGTCACTAATGCACTATTAACCTCTGCAATATTGCAAGAGTTACAAATATATTATACACCCTAATCCTACTACCCCTTTCATGAAGCTAACTTCATGAGGCAATTTTTCAATCAATTCTCAATAATTTTTGGCCATTCTTTTTATTGTGTAAAGATCTCATTGCAAAAGTATCTAAACTCACTTGGACCCAACATAATAGATGGTTAGGACCCACTTTCATATTTAATTAAAGTCACCAAAAACTCATTTTTTTTCAAACAATCCCCCACATGAATAAAAATTGACTGAATGACTCAACAAACGAACACCGTTCAACAATAATGATTTGAAGAGAGAGTACAATGGACTAACCCGGCATTAGAGAATGTAACTTTTGGTTTTGAACCTCTCCCAGTGAAAACCTATCGAGTTTACTGCTGATCAGTGAATATGACATCTTGAACTGCTTAGCCGTTTATGTAAACTGAGACAATAGATCTCACACGGAAATTACTCCTATCACCATTCTGTTCTCACTGGTGTGCCCTGTATGGCCCTGAGCACTGGCCTAGTTCAGGGAGTGGTGTCAAAGAATTTTTACCTTCTCAATTCTTCTAGAAGTGGGCCCACTTCACACTCACATAGGTGACTCTTCAAAGTATCTTACTATACCCTGTTTGAATCCTCAACACATAGAGTCATTGAAAGCTTTGTTTAAACTTTACCCCCGCAGGTATCACTGCTTAAAGGAATGGCTGGAGGATTTTACCCCCACAGTGACATACCATTGTTACATGCAATTAGGTTGTCCCATTGAACCTAGATCTTGGGATCTGCAGTCAACTAGGTTGGGTTTTCATTCCGGTAACTTCCAAAGGCCTCAACTTCATTCCTTTTGACGACGTCTCAACTAATACCCAATTTAACCCTTTGGTTAGCGGATTCGCAATGTTGTCCTTAGACTTTACATAGTCTATAGAAACAACTTCATTCGAAAGTAGTTGTCGTATAGAATTATGTCTACGACGGATATGTCTAGACTTTTCATTATAAATATTACTCTGTGCCCTACCAATTGCAGATTGACTATCACAATGAATATAAATAGCTGGCAGAGGTTTAGACCAACGTGGGATATCTTCAATAAAATGGCGAAGCCTCAGCTTCTTTCGTTGCTTTATCTAAAGTAATAAACTCTGATTCCATCGTTTGATCTAGATATACATGTTTGCTTGGAAGATTTCCAAGACACGGCTGCCCCACCAATAGTGAACACATATCCACTAATGGACTTTGAGTCCTTTATATCTGATATCCAATTCTCGTCATTATAGCTTTCTAGCACCGCTGGATATCGAATATAATGCAGCCCATAATTCCGAGTGTAGCATAAATACCTTAACACCCGCACAATGCCCTTCCAATGAGTAGCATCGGGATTACTTGTGTATCTACTAAGCCTGCTAACCGAGTAGGCTATATCCGGCCTTGTACAACTCATCAGATACATCAAACTTTCAACAACCCGAGAACTCTCACCATTATTTTTGGTCAAATGTAGACTTACGTCTACTGGTGTCCTAGACACACTTGTATCTAATTTACCAAATTTCTCAAGTATCTTCTCAACATAGTGAGACTGAGAAAGTACAATACCACTAGAACCATACAATGATTGATATGCTTATAGACTTTCTTATTTTGTCCTGGAGCTAAAAACCCCTCGGGTTGCTCCATGTAGATTTCTCTATTCAAATTTTCATTTAAGAAAGCTGTCTTTACATCCATCTGATTTATCTCCAGACCGCGTAAAGCTGCTACTACAATCACCATGCGGATGGATGTAATCCTTGTCACAGGTAAATACATATCAAAATAATTCAGGCCTTCTCACTACCTGTATCCTTTGATAACTAGCCTAGCCTTATACTTATCAATTGATCCATCTGCTTTCATCTTTCTTCTAAAGATCTACTTGTTCCCCAGGGCCTTACTACCTGGGGGTAGATTAACCAACTCTCAAGTATGATTCTGTAAGATGGAATCAATCTCACTCTTAATTGCTTCTTTAAACAAAGGATTTTCAGATGAAGTTACAGCTTTATGGAAAGTTCGAGGTTCTCCTTCTAACATGTAAGTCAAGAAGTCCAGACCAAAGGACTTTGCAGCCCTAGCCCTTTTACTCCTTCTTGGCTTATCTACTTCCTCAACTTGATCATCGACTTGATCATCTATGTGATCATCTGTTTGATCAGCTATGTAATCATTGTCACCTTCAATCTCTTTCATGGAACTTTGAATCCCTTCTTGGAGACGACAAGGAAATACATTTTGAAATAAAGATGCATTTCTTAATTCCATGATAGTATTCTTGTGTATATCTGGAATAATTGATCTATACACAAGAAATCGATATGCACTGCTATTATGTGCATAAATGTTGAATACAAAGTCAACAAATTTTTAGGCTTATCCTAACCCTCTTGGGTTTAGGTATTATCACCTTTTGCATTACAGCCCCACATTTGTAGAATTTATATAAAGGCTTTTGGCATTTTCCAAAAATTCATACAGGATCTTTAAACAATTCCTTCTGTCACAATGATTATGAAACTCTCAAAATCATATCACAGTAAATAAATTCTCAAAATGTCATCAACCGAATTAGGCATCCAAACATATTTGGTCCAACCTATACTCTGAAGCCAATAGTCTTACTATTAGGAAACACAAATCCAGTATTCAAAAGTCTACTCTTCGGAACTTCATAACATGATCAGTAGTCTTATCACTAGGAATCACTAATTTCTCAGCATGTGATCAGTAGACTTTCTATTACTAGGAATCACAATGTCTTAACCTGTGATCAGTAGTCACTTTACTACTAGGAATCACAACGTCCTGACATAGGATCAAAAGACTCTTTCATTGCTCAGAATCATCATGTCTTGATATGTGATCAGTAATCTGTTCACTACTAGGAACCACAATCTCATAACTGTGTAGCCAGTGGTTTAACACCTCCTAGGAACCACCAATTTTCTATCTCTGTGATTAGTGATCTTGTACTCACTGGGAACCACCAATTTAAGAATATATTTGGAATTTAAAAATTCAAAAATATATTCACACACCCTAACGGGTTTTCTCATCTTTGCTTTTAAGCAAAGTCACATAGCAATCATTTATGCTATAATTGACACAAGGATAACATACTAACTGCCTCTGATTAATTCAAAGACATTATCATGCAATCTTATAATTTCCTTTAATCACACTTGATCTCTCTAGATCTTCCTTTAAGAACCTCGCAAGGCTTAAGGTTGTTAGGTGGAACAACATTTCTTTTGTCACCTCTTGAAGCCATTTCTGAAAAAACACAACAGAATTTCACCATTCTATTTTTCCGGGAACTAAACGTAATACTAGAAATCCACAGTTTGAAATTTAATTAAAAACTAATCTCACCACTTACCCTAGAATCGAACATAGTCAGAAAAGTTTCCAAGAATATTGGAGCTAGGGGTCACACCGGTCCCACTTAAGACTCAGTTAACCATAGACAAACCTTTCAAGAGCATGTTGACTCCTAGTCCATGGGAAACAAATTTAGAATTAAGTTTTCCAGGGGATAAACCATTTAAAACAAACCAATTCCAAAGCAAATAAAATTTGCTGTCAGAATTACACCACTCATAAAAGTTAACCAGTACTCCTGGAACTGAGCCCATGAATTTTGAATCAAATCATAAATATTTTAGCTAATGCTAAAATTTGTTTCTTTTCTCAAAACCAGCACACTTTGGAAATTATCAGATTATAAACCAAAACACTTTGGAAATAATCAGATTATAACCAAAGACTTTCTCCAAACTTGGTTTTCCAACACTTTGGGAATAAAATGATTAAACCCAAAGACTTCATCAAACCCCAAAGGTTTGAAAGCAATGTGTGAGGGTCCTATTTGCCTTGCAGTCATTATGGGTATCTCTTTCTTTCTTTGGGAGTTTATTTGTAGTTCTCTATGTTTTAATTGTTAATTCAAACTACTTCAATGTTTTGAGAAAAAAATGTAATTAAAAAAGGGTTAACTACACTAATGATCTTCAAAAGATACGTTATACTGCATTTTAGTCCCAATTTTTAATTGTTCCATTTTTGTTCTCAAATTATGTGATTTGTTACACTTTAATCCCCAACGTTAATGCCATTCAAAATTAATAACACAAAAGAAGTATTTTTTTTAAAAAATTATGTAATGCATCGAGTTCTACTTTTTTTGGTTAGTATTTTTTTTAAGATGCATTAATGGAATATTATGGATTAAAGTTTAAAATATAAGAGAAATGAAACTGATTAGGTTGTGACCTTATGCTCCGTTTGTTTGGGCAGAAAATAGTTTTTATGAATTTTTTTTTTTCAGAAAATGTTTCCTAGAGAAAACATTTTTCTATATTTAGTGGCGGTGGTGGTGGTGGTGAAACAAAGGTAGAGGTAGAGGTGGTGGCATGGTGGTGGGGCATTGACGACAGTGATGGTGGTAGTAGCCGTGGCCGTGGAGATTGTGGTGTGGTGGTGGAGATGAGGT